TGGAAAAGTTTCGTGTCGGAATTCGCCATACGAAGTCCGTGCTTAGGTGTCGGAAACGGTACTACGGTTCTCCTTACATACGGAACAGTGGGTCATCCCGTTTTCCCTGTAAGACATCTGCTTTAGACCAGAGTTCCACCGTTCATTGCCGGAGGCAATTGACGGTCAAGAGGTGCGTGTGGCCCCGAATCTAGTTGTCAGACCGAACGTAACACCAGATCCACCAGGTATGTTTCCTCAGTCTCATGCTATCTGTCGACTGGCGCATTTGGCTCATGGGTGCCTTCATATGGTACCGAATTTGTTGTGACGGCTTGTGCTGGAGGTGTACCAAGGCGAGCGCCGAGGATGCCGCTTGAAGAAGAGAGGGAGAGTGTAATGCTTTGTTTACGTGACAACCTGAAATTTGGCTGTCACTTTAGAATTTGTCTGGCCCCCGTAGACGTGGGTTGGCCTTCGGGCCACGTTAAGGCCCCATTTGTCCTGTCGTCTTCAGGATACATGTATCCAGCTTCAATTGCTGACTTCTTATTGCCTGTTCAGACGTCTCAGAACGCTACATTACGGACCACTATCCTTTAACACATGGGGCCACCGAATTTCAGATGCACGAATAATTCATGAGAACTTATTGTGGTTCTCTGAGCCTTCCATCAGGCAAAGGGAGGCAGCAGATTAGCTAGAATGTATGCATTCTAAGATAAGAGGATGAGACAACGTTTGCCCATGGCGTCCGCCCCCATTACAAGTACCAAATTAAACGCCTGTTATTGGGCAGTTACCTTAACAAAGTATTACAATTATATGAGGATCAGTATCTAATAAGCTGAATTCAGCACTACAAAATGTTAAAAGCTTTGTCCTAGTGTGCTGTCTTTACGTTTCTTGCATACCGCCTTTAAAATGACTGCCCTTTGGTTCTGGGTCCATTATTTTTCCCTGTAGATCTAGCAGCCCTGGACTTAATGTAATCGAATTACCCCTAAAGAGTTGGTGATTTCGACATTGTCTAAAGGTCGGACATCCAGCCTAGACAGCACAACTCCAAAAATACAACTGCTACTCAGTTTAACAACCCATATGTTACAGCATCTCTGCCTCTGATAGACGGTGAGCTTCATCGAAGCACATTGATGGATCCCCTCATCAATCTCGATGTCGCTCAAAAAACACGTCTTATTAAACTTTTTCAGACTTAAGGCTACTGGCCTGGACCATAGAGTCAAACCACCTGGGCACGCATGTGTGGCCAAGATTAATTCGTACCTGTATCAGCAAGTTATAATTAATATTGTTGGTATCAGGCTTATCTCACGGGTGAGAAACCTCTGAACTCGTACACAACACACAATAATGAAGGCAGTGGTCCCTAAAAATAGTTCTTTTTTGGTAGCAAACGAAAACGTAAAAATTCTACAAAAGGCCCACGTACGTGAAGTGGGCGAGAAACTGGTTCCTTGAAATTCATTAATCATATTTTTCTTCATAGTCAAAGCGTTTTCACAGTTAGTAGGTTCTGAAATGCCATGCTATGGAGCTCTCGGCAAGAGATGGGTAAAAGACAGTCAATAATCCAAGGCTGTTTCACCACCATTTCTTTAAATCTTATCAAGTCCACCCCTCTGTCGGAGCTTGAGGCAAGAAGGTTTTCCAAGTATTGTATTGTCTCACGAACAGGTTGATCGGGATCAATGTCGGCATGGGTTGCAGCGATTTCCGGATCAAACGATCCCGCTAAGAAGCGTCGAAATTCCACCTGCTTACGCAACAGACCATCTCGATCTATATCCATAATCTCAAAGGCGAGTTCGGCTCTCTCCAGAAGACTTCCCCGCAAGTAGATGGAAAGCATGATGACGAAGTTTCCAGGTGGAATTCCCAGCTTTTCAGGTCGTCTACGATCATCACGTAGCTGGACGGTGACCCGCTTAATACCTGCCAGTGTGTGTGAGTTTGTGATACCCAAACTACCGACTAAGAAGTCGACAAATTCAATCTGAGTCATCAGTCTCACCTTGTATCCCACAATAGCGTAGTACATTTGCAGAATTATGGCAATTTCCCTCCCATCAAAGTGCATTTTTGGATGCCTCTTCAGTTCACACACTAATGATATTATAACAAGGCGTATAGCAGCCGGAAAGTTGCTGTTACTATCAGGAATCTTAGCAGCTTTTGAGTTAATCTTTTCAGTAACTTTTTTTACAAATGTGGACACATCTAAAAGCCTTCGATTTCGGAATTGGTTGAAGCTTTGGGAGGCAAAAACCGACGGCACAACATATTTCATTCGTCGATCTCTGGTGTACACGGTGAATGTGGCGGTTGCATCCAGTCGTGGTGCGGTCAGACTCTTCTGCCCAGTGAAAAGGCTCTTTCGTCGTATCATGGTCTAATGTGAATGTCAACCATCCAGGCGGTCAGTTTAGCCGTGAGGTCAAAACGAAGCATTGATTTTTTCAACTTGAACTTCCTGACAGGTTGGAATGACATGACATTGGGCAAAAACACAATCCATGTGAAAACCCACTATAAGATTAACGATTCCTTTTGGCTAAAAAGCATGACAAAACTGAGATTAAGATTTCGCAAAGGAGGGAGATTTAGATCTCGTTTCTAACTGACCCCTTCTGTACGAAACACTGAGCCATATAAGTTTCTACTAGCGGATGACCTGAGGTCAAAGCTGCAGCTGTTCTACAACTACCACGTCTCTATCCTCCGAAATCTGTAGTTTTAGGGATAAAAAAGTACTTGTATGCTAAAAAAACGCACAAGCAAAAATGCACAAACCGCTACAACTCTTGCCATTTTATTTCAAAAATTGAATTTGGAAGGATCGAGGTGGGAGTTGTAGAAGGGAGGTGATTAAAAACACTTAAGGCGGACTAAAGCTGGGGACGTCCATATCACCGGCGCAGTCCCTGAGAGTGACGCCATTGAAGCACATTGAGAGTTGGGCATCGGGACCTAGGGGGGGGGGAAGCATAGTGAATGTGATTGTATCCGGGTCCGAGGTGCTGGCATCGGCATCACCGCCACACTTTTGCAAGCGTCGACGAAGCTCCTCTATGATGTGTGCTTGCTTCACCACCTCACGTTTCAGCACCTGCACGAGGCTATCCTAGAAAATGGAAATGGGCAAATCGACACAAGTGGAGAGTGATACACTAAGAAAGTTGACATTTGCAACCGGTTGCAATAAATGAAAGTAATGAGAGTACGACAGAAGTACCATCGCAAAGCTAACCTGGGCTAAAAGCTGATTCTGAAGTCGCAAAACTTCGGCACGAAGTCGTTTACAGAGAGTGTACTGCATTTGGTGCACATTTCCTGTATCAACTAACCACTTGTCAATGGATTTATCAATTGATTGGATCAGCTTTGAACTGCTGGTTATAGGCGAGCCGAAAGAGAGTGGTGGAAAGTAGGTCATTAGAAGACAATTGACATATTCATTGGCAAAAGACGCCCACTGCTTGTTTAGTAAGGGATCGCCCGAAAAGCCATTTCGAGCAAAAAATTCCGTCGCATTTAGGTCGGCATGTACTACCATGGCATCGTAGAGACCCGACATCTGAGGTGTTTTAATAATATCAATGATTCGTGTGCCAATACCCAGTCTGCGGAGATGCTTCTTCACAGATAAAAAAGTGATGTGAATTACTCGCTTCTTGTTGTCAACTTTTCTGGCACGAAAGTTGCAAACCGCAGCGATCCTATTCTCAGGTCCAAGCAAAGGCAGAAGATCATTGCTGTGCAAATTTTTGGCATTCTTATCCAAAAACACTTCTTTCACTTTCAGCTTCCTTTCTAAACACGAGGCCAGAAATGAATGGTAGCCGTGCGAACACTTCTTGGCAGTGTCCTCATCGTCGTCCGCCCTTTCGGAGCAACTTTCCGAGGAAATGGCGGTTTTGTCATCGCAACATTCTTCCGTAGTGTCATTGTCATCATCATCTTTATTTTCAACAGTACCTTTACTAAGCTCTTGTTTATCCTCTTCGTCACTTTCTTCCCCATCAGATCCACTAGAGATATCGGAAGCGAAGACAAGACCGAAATCAGAAGCCTCCTCTGTCCCCGATTCATAGGCGTCATCATCATCATCCGTACTTTTTGAACTAACAGCATGGAAAGCCTCTCGTAATTTAGCCATAAACTTGACGTTCTCCTCAGCCTTTTGATTCTTCTTGTTTTTAGATATCTACTATTAAAAATAATCCCAAGTAGAAGTAGTGACATACTGAAGAGTTAGTTTCCATCAACCGTCCAGTACAATCGTCGTCTCTCGAAATGATGAAAATTGTTACGGAGGATTTTTCAAAAAGTGCTTCGTATATTGTTGTCTTATCCATGGAGACTAAGCTAACGGAAAGAAGTCCCACTGCAGTGTGGAACATCTCTTTCACAGTATTTTCACCAATCAACCGCATGTCTTCTTTCCCTTCCTTATAAACTCGTGCCATATCAACCAAATAAAGATCAAATGTATAAGTTCGTGCATCTTTATCAAAAAGCTTTATTTCTGGAAGTCGTGAAATGGCACTGTTGGGCCCTAGTCCGTGCTCATGCATGATCGCATAGGAGCCAACGCACTTCAAATTCGTGCTCAAATGCGTAACCTCAGTCGTTATGTTATAAAAGACTCACAACTTATAGTTAACTTTGTAATATTATGCTCAAATTGTGTCAACGAAATTGGTAGCAAAATTTAAAATGCTCAGGAAACATTTAAAATCTGAGAATGAGGCGCCCCATTCAGGGCTTCGAATTTAGTAATAAAGGTATGTTAAGAGACGCTCTACAGGCTAAATAAAATCTATTAAAGCCACATCACTATTAATCGTCTGAAAAGTTTTGTACAGAAATTCTCTCTTTTACATTAACTCATAGGTGTCGGGAACGACACTACGAATCTCCTTATACACGATAATGCGCCGATTGCCATCTTTCTTATGCAGAAACCATTTCTGTCCAGGGTATCAAAGTGTAGACTCAAGAGCATTCGATAATCGACAGATGCATGCGACCCTGTCAGACCGTACGCAACTTTAGATCTAGTTGAATCTGCTAAGGAGGCTACGTGCGGTCACTCGGTTTCATGGTGTACCACTATTGGTGCATTAGCCGATGCTATGATAGCTAGCATGGAGAATGTACAAAAGGGAGCACCGAGGATGTCGTTCGAAAGAAAAGATGCAATATAAAACTTTGTTTAAGTAACTACTAGATGTCTAGTGTCTAATTTGAGATAATCTGATCTTTGATGCTTAAGCTTGCCTTGTGACCAGATCAAAGCCCATTTCCACCTTCTTTTACGCGATTGCGTGCATTAAGCCCAATTTAATGTTTTCTTTAAATTTATGTGAAGTTTTGAATGGTATTAGGTGATTAAGGTAAAGTTGAAAATGATGAGTTGACCAAAATGATTACTTGCTGGTGCTTTCTTACAGCAGTTATACGTTGCGGTGGTCGACTTTAGGAGTGTACCAAGTTAAGTTTCAAAGGCTTTACGTGCAAAAAAGGTTAATCTACTGAATTGTTTGTACGACCATCTGAATGACTGACGGTAGCCTCGACAAAAGCATAGTTTTGTATTCATGGGCCGGCCTTCGGATGGAACCAAGATCCAAAAGCTATGAGTGTAAGATATGCTAGAATGTTAAAGGGAGGGGCGGGAATGAACTAGAACGCGAACCCGGTGCGTGAAGGCCATGATGAATCCCTCTCCGGGTGATATCTACCATTCAACTCATCTGTACTCCTATCCCCGTTCTTCCTGTATTCAATGCCTAATAAATCTACTGCAACCAATCCTCTATTGAACCCCGTAGTCCAGGGGCATGAGAGTGGGCAGGCGACTCTTACCATAAGCGCAATTATTTTGGTCCTGCTTGATGACTTAAAATAATTTACTGCAGGTTGTGTGATGATACGGTATAGCGTCCCGGGACTTCCTATCCGGCGGATACATATATTTCGAAGACGACAGGGCGAATGGGCTTGAGCATGGCCCGAAGGCCAGCTCACATGTGGAAGGACCAGACAAATTCGAAAGTGACCGTCAAACGTCAGGTAGTCACATAAACAGTGCATCACCCATGGAAACCAATTCGTTGATTGGTTCCAATGCACTGTAACACTCTGTTTATGTAACCACATAACATTTGGAGGTCAATTTAAGATGTGTCTGGCCCTTGTACACATGGGCTGGCCTTCGGGTCATGTCTATAATAAATACTATTGTTTAAGTGTACCTATATAGGGAACAGTGCCGTGAGGAATCTCTCTCCGGGTGACATCGACTCTTCGACTCATCTTTTCTCATATGTCCCATTCTTCCTGTAACCACTGCCTAATAAGTCAGCCTCAACTAATCCTCTCTTGAAGTTCGTGGTTCAAGGGCATGAAAATGGGCAGGCAGTCCCTACAATGTCCAGACCCATTTGTCCTGTTGTCTTCGGAATACATGTATCCATCTAAGCTTACTGACTTCTTTTACCGGTCGGGAAGTCTCGGAACGCTACTATCACCTTCATTAAGTTGCTCTTGTGAGATTCACAGAACTTTTCTACTGAATGCATAGGCTTGGATTGTGTTTTGCCATCCGCACCTATAAGGGCAAGTAAGTGCTGGTTAATCTGGCCTCTGATGCCAGGTTTATTTGCAAAATGGGGTACCAAATAATCTCCTTGAGGTTGGAAGAAGCCACAATTAAAGAAGTTTCGGTAGATTTGATTAATAATTATTTGCTAGCACATACAAGCTTCGAATGGCTCAAATGTATCAAATTTGGTCAATTATTTGCCCTGTACGTTTTATTAATGTTGAGATATCTGCAAAAAAATTTCGCAAAAAAATGTACGTCAAATCCTTTGATGTTTTTCTTTGAATGCTACGACGAACCCTTATTGAATTTAATTGATCTCTTTTAACTCGTCTTTTACATAAGTCCTCAATTAAAATATGTATGGTTACCGGTTGTTGAGTAGTCGCCCCGAAGATGCGTCCATTGCGGATTATTGCGATGATAGCGATGTGTTAGAGAAGGTGAAGAGGTATTTGAATAGCCACTTATTTTCTTAAGTACCAGGAAATCGCAGTTCATGGCGATTCTGCTTATTGTTCTATGCTCCCTGTTAATTCTTACTGGAATCATCCTTATTTACCAGGCTTTTGCTCTTTATATAAAGTCTGCCGCCTTTTGGAAAGGTCTTTACGATGCAGGTAAGCAAAGACATTAAGACACTGCGATATTTAGTATGTTACAATTCATCCATTTTTAGTTGCTGACAGACTTCTGACCGTCCCTCGGAAGTCCCACAGACATTAAATGATCAGATCAACTTGGAGTTTGACGGCTGTGAATAATGATCTTTTGTCTGTCTACGTACTTCTGAGTGTTTATTTTTCTAATTACCGGCACTGGGAACTTGTGCATGAGTTTCGCGCATTGATTTTTCTGTGCCCATTTTCTTTGTCATCTTCCAGCACATCTCCTTTTTCTGCATCTGAGGCATGTGCGCTAGGTCAGACAAGTACAATAATTGTTGAAATGTTTTCTCTTGTGATCAGTAGAGTCATCCTTTCGGAGCCAGACTTGGGTATCAGGGGGAATATTTGATTGCTCTTTGTTTTCAAGGCTTTGTTGACCAGCTACTCACCTTAAACTCCACTGTCCTTTGAATTTTTGTCGTAGGACGTCATGTGAGCATAGCTGGACTGAAGCGTGCTTGATGCCTCGAAAACGCATCCTCTACTCGGTATAAATGAACCACTTTTTGGCCAAATAGTTGAACTAAATCGGTGAATCAAGTGAGGATGGAATCGCATCTTTGGAGGTGTACAATCTATTGATTTTCTGCTTGTATTTCTTGCACGCATTATCCGCTTATTCTAGTCACGTCAGTTAATTTTTTTTAACACACTAATTCCTATATGTCTTGCGTCTAGCAAATAACGATTTAGTTATCGGTTTGAAGCTTAAATGTCAAAGGTATGAGATCGTGAAGTTAAGCTAGTCCTGTTGACTAGCTGAAGATCGGCATGGGTTTCATTCCATGAGGCAGCTAGTTTTACATTGCCCAAGAGTTTTCGCAGCGCGTGTACCAGTCATGGTAAAGAAGACTGTGTGGACAGGTGCTCTAATACGGGACTAAGGTAATTCAGCCAAGCGTCAAGCAATGAAGTTAAGCTGTGTTTGCGAGTTGGCATCCCTGCAATCTTGTTTAGTCAATCATATACGCTTTTTCGCTGCTCCAGAAACGCGATCCTGCAATTGTTTCATTTGTTTGCTGGATAATCTTGATTGCTTTCTCTGCCATATGTTAAAGTTATTATCAAGTAAGTGGCATTCTATGCTTACATAATTATTTTGACGCACTTAAGGCAAGGAAGCAGCACAGGATTGTGTGTTTGACTCCATGGCACCATTTACCTCAAGTGGAATTCCAGGCTTCAAATTACATAGGTGGGTCTTTGGGGGCATACTTGAACAGTTTTTTTTATATCTTTGGATACTGTGAGTGTGCGCTTTGGCTCCTCATTTACCCTCCTCTTAATCCGAGAAAACATCCTCCACTCTCCTTGTGTATGCCATACTAAGCAAGTCCACTTGTGGCTTATATTGTCCCCTTTTGAAAGGAATTCCCTCTGTTTTGAAATTGTGCTTTTGTGCTGACTAAGCGAGTGTCTAATTTATAATTTTCTTTATACTTTTGTTTATGCGAAGCTATGCTACTCCTCCCCTTGGTTTGTACCTAGGCGGTATGACTACGAAGTACTAGCGTTATGAATAATTGGGCATGGTCATTTTGCTTCTTAATAAACCAGGAAAAAAAGTGGCATGTCAAGGTATCACAGTCACTTTTATTGGGAGTTTTCATTGCTTCTGCATAGCGTCCACAGGCTTGGAAACGAATGGAGAACGGTAATTTGGTGAATCGCAAGCTACCACGCAACTAATTGCCCACGTTGTAATGCGATGCAAATTGGCATGAGGATGTGTTACTTGCTAAGGGAAAAGCATCTTAAGATTGCGAGGTTTCGCAGTTACGTCTTGTGAACTTGGAAGCGAGTCGAATGTTTTCATATCGTGATGAATGCCGGAAGATGAGATTTATGTGATCTTTATTAAAATTATTCATACTTTTGGTCGGTTACAAGAAGACCGTCTGACATTCGACTTTTGAAGCTATGCTTCCCATAACCCACTTCCGAGAAGCCAATTTTGTGTGTTTTAATAGTTGATTGCGCATCTTGAGATGAAAACTGCCATGCTTTCTCGCTCTCCGGGGTCATTGATCCCACTTTAGTTGTTTGCCTCCTGCTTTTGACATCGAAAGTCCCTTAGGAGGTCGGCGATTGTACTTGCGCTGAAGGAATTGGTTTCATACACTCAGAAGCCTTGCTCCGCTTGGATAGCGTATGTTCTGCTCAGGAAAGTTTTGGGATGTTACAACTCAGAGGTACATCACTCTCTAGGCTTTACTGGAAGCTACATGAGAAAAAATCAACTTTCTTTCTAGCAAAGAACTCAACAAAATTAAATCTCTACTTGTGTCCAACTAGACATGCTGTGGGTCGAATGGTGTCGACAAAGGTGCCGATAAGGTTGTCAACTTATTGCAAGTCTCTGACCTCTGCCAAGTACTTCGAGAGTAAAAAAATCTTGAAACGTCAAAATTTGCAATCTCTCGAAGAAAAAAGGGAAGCCACAAAAAACAGATTCTGTATGCAAATCAGGCTTTTCAGGTCTCAATTTGTTATACTTGTCTATAAATTCGATGACTTTTCGGAGAAGTTTCTCGCCTCATCTTCATCCCTTGGCCTCGTGAGCGTAACAGCATTGTACTCCTCCCTGAACGCGTCTTCATTTGTCGGACCTTGACTTGAAACCATACCAACAGGTCGAACCCATTCTGGTTTGCGGCTGAACTGAGCAGAAGTACGAGAGATTCTTCGAAGTCGCTCCTTCTTGGATTTTCGGGCAGTCGCTTCAAGGGAGATGTTGCCTTCGTCGTCAGATCTTGGAACTCTCAAATCATCTGTCTCCTCTCCTTGAAAATACCTCTTCACCAGGCTTGAGGGGAGGTCACGAAGGTACTCTGCCTTTGCCTCCGGTTTCACAGTTGCCCAATGAAGTTTCAAAGCAATTGTCTCATAGACTTTTAGAACTTTGTCATCGGTACTTTGGGGGTCGCGTTGAAGTATTCGACGAATAAATTTCTTATCGACACGAGAGATTATTTCACGAAGACGATTTCTCCCTAACGATCCCACAATGGATTCAATGCCAGCGAGAGTGTGATCAATAAGACGGAGTGTCACATCGATGAATATACTCAACTGCTTTAGCTCATTCAACCGTATTCGCGCTAGATGGACTAGCGGTCTCATAGTGAGGCCTTGGAAGCCCACGGTAACAAGAATAACGAAGAGAGCACAGGTTATGATTAAACTTTTTACCTTCTCAGGTACGTCCTCCAAATCTCTGAGTAGAAAGGCAAGAGAAAAGGCAACTGCCCCTCTCAAACCGCCATAGATCATGATAAGTTGTTCACGGAAGTATATTCGCATGTTATTAATTCGAAAGAAGTTGATGAATTCAGTTAGGACTATCACAACGACTGCTCGTGCAAACAAGCACGTCACAAATGCCCACAGGCAAAACCCTGTAGACCATTCGTATTTAGTGAAGAGAATCTGAAAACCCAGAAGAAAAAAGGTTACCGCCTCAGATATCTCGGCAATCTGTTTTATAACCATCTCAAGGGTGGTTAGAGATGCGTGAGATATGTTGTGAAAAGCATAGCTAGCTTGAATAAGACCGCAGTTAATCATCGCGATAATACCCGACCAACCAATGCAGTTTGTAATGAAGTAGGAGAGATAGGCAACAAGAACCAGAACCACTGTCTCGAAGTGCGACTCCCAACGGGTTAGGATACAGGAGAGGGCTCCCAAGCACAAGCCAATGAACATTCCACCCAAACTGATGGTGAAAAAGGATCCGATGCCAAGGCCTATGTTAGTCGGTGTGATGGAAGCCGCATTAGTGAATTTGCACATTATTTCGTAGAGCACAATTGTCACTGCATCGTTGAGAAGTGACTCACCGAAAACTATGTAATAGAGACCGAGGTTGACTCCAATTTCCTGAAATATAGCCAATACTGCTACAGGATCGACAGCAACAATGATAGCCGCAAACAGAAAGTGGTTGGTGAGCGAAATCTCCATGAGGTTTGGTCCCATCGCACCGGCCTTTTGAAGACCATACATGACTGGTGCAATAATAAAGAAGTTTAGAAGAGTCCCCAGAACTGCGTAAATGATGATGCTGGCTAGAAAGTCACCGAAAGTACGGTTATAGAGGCCATAGGAGGAGTCAAGTACGATAGGTGGAAGAAGGAAGTTGAAGAAAAGGATTGGAGTGAGGACGAGGACACTGCCATTAAGGTTAGTGGAGAGGGCTCTTAATATCGCGCCAAAGGCAAGACCAATGAGAATGAGAATTAAGGATTGTGGAACATAGTCAGGGATATAAGGTATCTTGGGGTAGAAGACCTTGAATAGGCTTACGAAAATGAGTAGCCCAAGAGACGACAGGTAGGATCCTAATTCGTCCAACTTCCAACCAGCCAAGTGAATGCTGTGATCCTGTGTCGAGTTTTGCGCAGAATCGACTTCAGAAAGAATGAAAGATGTGAAGAGCAAACAAATCACATATGAAAACACAGCCATCAAAGTGTTCGAAAGGATTCTTTTAAACTTGTGTTAAAAAATGGTGGTTACTTGAGTTGTTACGCCCTTATAAAGTCGAAACTTTAGTTTTAAACAAGCATTATTTGGAATGTAAAAAATGGTGGTCATATTTTGCTACTACACTTCCTAATGTTGAAGGTGTGAGTAGACGAAATCAGTAGGTAGCGACTTCACAAGGTGTTACTGAATTGATTTAAGTAAAATTCGCCTTGGACGAATGTGATATTCTCCTCCATCTATGGATTTGAATGCTTCAAATTGACACAAAATACTTCATTTTAAAAAAATCTTCACGACAATGTCTTTGCAGAAAATTGAGATCTCAGATATGGCTGCACCTGTGTGCACTGAATTCCCACAGACGTCAGCGGCAGATTTTTTGAGAGGATTCGATAGGAAGCCAACTATTGTCGCATCAATCCCAAAAAACATTTTTATACCGCTGCTAACATGATGCAAACCTCAAATTGCCTCACTCCTAATCAAAGGCGAACTAGGAGGGCGTGCTCGAATGGGGTAGGGTACTAAGAAGGCCCAAGTAGAAATGCCACAGAAAATGAATTCATGTCCGACGACGATCAGTCACTACCCTATGAGTTAGAATGTGCCGTCGATGTACAGAAGAGATGCGCGACTCCTACAGCAACCCGATCCCAGAATGCTCCTATACACAGAACATGGGGTTGGACAAATAATCAAGGCACAACGTACCCTCCTCGCCTTTTTGGAACTTCATTTGGCAAACCTTTCGCATCGATCGCCAAACTACAATAGTTGCTGGAAGAAACAAGTCCCTGATTCCTTGCGAAACTGAAACGATAGGTGATTGCAACGTCACCTCTACCGAGTCTGCACATCAATCTGGTTTGGGAACTCCATTAGAGCCAAGGGGGACGCCAAGCGGACCATCTCAATTTTCCATTGTTACTCGAAAGAAAATCGACTCAAAGCGCCTATTCATCTATGCCACGCTGATCTCACCCCTTCAGATCCATCTATCGCAGTTCTATCCAGCTAGTGAAGGCACATCCATAGGGCTAGTAGTAGAAGAGCCTTCCTTCACTTCTTAGTACAGCAATCAGATCTCAGGCGTCGGAAAGTGCATTACAGACACAGGGATGAGGCGAACGATCGAATCGCGTGGCCCTCAGACCCATATCACAAAGAGGGACCACGAAGTCCGCGACTTCTGTGTGTATGTAGGAAAAAGGAGGAAGTAAGCGAATAGTAAAAGGATTACAGTAGGATCACTGTGTCATTTGCTAAACGATCACAGGGTTAGGTAAGGAGTAAATTATTGAATCAACATTTTACGCACAGGGAACGTGGACTACATAGAGTAGTAATTTCCTGCATTTAAACAACCGTGTGAACTTAACGCAAAACAAAACTGAATTTAGATCATGGCCATACGACCGAATTGATACACAAGGTTCCACATGAGCTTAAGGGAAGAAGAGACTACCATAACCACAAAGCCGTACATAAAATGATTTTGTTTGTCGGATGGATGGATGGATATCGCTGTTTAATGTATTCTAGGGAGCGTGGTTGAAATACTTTTTCGTGCTAAATTCATAGAGTCCGTTTGCTGGAGCATAGTTTGCTATTTGAAACTGAAAGTAGTCGATGTGTCTGTCAATTAGTTGAGACGTGGATGGATGGATGAATGGAGAAGGTTAAAATTTGTCATTACGACAGTGACGACATAGAGACTGATTCATTAACTTTATAAACCAAAGTGAAGAACTGCTTACGTGTGGGTGATACTTACTAGTAGCAGTGTCAAGCGCCTATCGACGAGTTAACAACTAAGTGAAGAAGGTGGTGGAACAAGCATGTAAAACTTGACCTCACCACGCACTGACTTAGGTGAGAAACGTAAAGCCTCGATGCTGAAACTGTAACACTGATAAGGTCTACCAAAGTGGAAGATAGAAAATGAATTGATAACTGCATTAATACGAAATGACGAGAACAGGAAGTGAGCCTGTGACAATTCAAGTCACTAGCAGACTCGTCAATGGTTTAGTAGAACAATCTCTCCCTGTAAGTGCACATACTGGTGGTAGGGAAGACTACAAAACCGCTACCATTAAGCATTCCATAACGCGATCTCTTTGTGTAGACACCAAAGGCAGTACATGCCTTGAAAATTATTGCTGTATCCTTGACGCTACCCCGACTACCCAAGTGAACATACCTTTGGTGTTTACGTAAAAAGCGGCATCCTAGGTGACGGCAATGCATGTGGTAAAATTGGCATGACGGGGATAACGGGGACAATCATGATTGAAGTGGCCCAATCTCACAGAGATACGTTGGGCGGCGACAAACCATCTCTCATCACCCAAGAGATCGGTTGCTGTAGATACAGGCGTCTAAAGTCGATGGCACAAATAACGTCTTAAGTAGGGTGATCACCTGCAATCCATTAGTCCTAGATGCTTTTATCCGTATTCCGACTGCCTCAGCGCCTTCTAGTGTAAAACAATAGTCGCACTTTGTGCAACAGCATGTAAAGGAAAACGCTTGCCTCAGATCAGTTCCCACCGAGGTCTTGCATTTTTGAAAAAATTCGTGTGATTTACCATAGAAAAGATACGGCAGAGCACTGCAGATTGTGTAATTGTTTTAATATAAACAAGATCCCTTTCTAGAGGTGTCAATGTCCCATTAAAGTATTGAAATGCCACAATCCTGATGAGTATCAGCGCAACAGTACGAATATTATACAATTAAGGGGTAAAATCTAAATGCTGGTAACAGAAATTCGGTTGCCAGCATAGCTTATAAGCCGTAATTGATACAGCCACTTGATCGACATTTCAAATATCCTCGTATTTGTATCAATAGCTTCTCGTGGCGAAAAAGGTAATCTACCTTACAATGAAACTTGCCAAACAGGAGTGCTAGAGACCATCCAAACCCGACTGTGATCAACGAGGGATACGCTGTACAGTGCCAAGACATTACGTCAACTCGTCAAAACCCTTCACAAGAGCGAAGCACGAAGAAATAGATGCAATAGCTTCATATCTATTCTACCAATAACAATACCAGTTAAGTATAATCCCAGTGCTTAAAAGGGGATAATTTCAGGCCTTTTGGATCACAATCAGCAGTAAATCGCGCTCTGAAAAGAAAGTAAAGGTGAAGTGAGTCATAAGTGTTTCATATCACGCCTAAATGAGTGTGTACGTACGTGGAGCTACCATAATCTCGTTTTTCTTGCTTCGAATACGCAGGAAAGTGAGATCATTGGTTGGATCCAAGTCTTTAACCACGGAGGACGACTTATTCATGAGGGCTTGAATCAATCCACAATAATGAACAGTCAAACTGTTCTCTAGAGTTGTTCGAATTGCAATTCCTGGGTATACGTAAGAGAATTTTACCATCGGAATGTTAAAATCGAATCCCTTTATGAATAACACAATTGGTGTTCTAAAGGCCTCAGTAAGTACCACATCGAAACCCACAATATTGAATGAAATCGAATATCAACAGAACAAACGCGTCTAACCTTCCCGATTGGAAACTATTACACCAATAACACCTGGATGAGCTCGTAGTCTTTTTATAATTTCATCAGCTTCTGACTGAAATTCACGACGAGAAAATTTAAAAAGAAAACACGGCAAATGCAAAACAAATCCCAAAAAGGAGGAAGCAAGGGATGAAAACGAACGCACCTTGCCTTCTTTCGGAATACCACGACTCTTAATTGGAGGAAAAGTAGTGTAAGTGAACGAACCGTCAATTTCTGGCACACTTTTATGAGAACAAAAAGAGACCGTTACTGAAGAACAGTTAAGTAACAAAAAAAATATGCAAAAGGTTAAATTTTACATTAACCCTCTACGACTGACACCTTGATATAACAATTGAGGCATCGACCCCTGTGCTTAATGGCATAAGTTAATGGTTCTTAACAACATTGCTTGAATCTTATTTCGAGTTGTAATCCGCTCGTTGTGTTGACATTTGAATAACTAGTTGAGGGTAATGAAATTCAGCTAAAGATAAGTTGAAGGAATGATGGAAAAAGAGCAAAGTCAAGGACCAGTGAGTATGATTGGAGAAGAGACCAATCCAAAAGTGCTTGGCACCCTCTAATTAGGTCGCATTTTTTTCAGGTAAGCAAACAACGACTAAGGTTAATGAAAAGCAGAGGAAGGCATGTAAAAAAATAATTATTAGCTGCAAAAAGATTGATAAATACAAAATCTAATCAGCAACTTTTACACAAGAAACTAAAATACAAACGAGCATAAATGCAACGGCGCCTACCATGTTAGAAAACAAACCTAAGGCAACGAGGCGTTGTTCCTAATTCGCGGTGACTAAAGTAGAGCAATGCTAACAAGCATCGTAATTTACCAACAAGAGTTAGAAAACGAAAAGCAGACAAGACTGATATTGACTGCGTTTTAATCAAATCGTTTAGACATGCTGCATATATTACGCTAAGGAAAATCGATAATACATGCTTACTGCGAATAATTACCTCGCGAATGATAATCAAAAAAGGCAGCAGCTTATTAGAAAGGCAGTAAATAATTGGTATGCCACTATGTAAAATAGATACCAATAGTGAAGAGGAAGGGTTGCCTATGTACATATTGCGTCCCTTTTCAAATCACTTATATGGGAATTCTCGTGTTTCTTCGAAACATTTAGCTAATCAGAAGCGTTTAACATGCAAGTTGCAGACTGAACTGAATATTTTTTTGATGACAAGACATTTCTACTGTGACATTGTCGCAAAAATTTTTCATATATTAATTGGAAAATAATACTGATAACGCTTAGTCAAGGTCAATCTGCGCTGACCAAAGACTTTGGCCTTAGAAACAAGTTTCGCTTTTCGGCTTGAGTTCGAAATGGTTGGTTATAGGCACATATAAAACTTGTCTAGCAGGAATTTACAAAAAATTGTTTAATTTTTTAATCTATTTATTGAACTGCCAGACTTGTGATTTACACTGAAATTTAGTTCTACTGTTATCATTATGGTCCAAATGATTTGTTTGTGAATCATTGTCCATTTTTGCTTTATCAGATGATACCTCAAACTCTCCTTTTCTTTCCTCATGATTACTTCTGCTTGAGCCTCTTGACGAAGCGACTATCTCCTATTTTTGTTAATCTTAATTAATTTAAAGTGGTTAGGAACATGGTGAAAATACCTTTGATTTTCCATCCGGTATTGCCAAGGTCATAGTATTGTTTCATATTTTCTTCTGCGATCGCTAATGTCTGTTTTTTTTAACGTTTGAATCCCTGGTCGCTTTTGTTAGTGCAATTCACTTATGTTAGGTTCGGCTATTACCTTGCAACTTCGGCCACGTACTTGTTCGTGTTCTTCCTCGAAAAGTCTATTCGTAGAATTCGCTTCTTGATTTGTGGGGGCGTCTCTAGGCATCCTTTTTTTGTACCCTTACTTTTTTGTTCTCACCGCATAATAGTTTCTTTCTCACCCTACTGGTTTATGCGACAGATGATTAAGCTGTTTTTTCCCTTTTAGAATGAAGTGGAAGACACATTTAATCGAATTCAGATGCACAAAGGCGTTCAGGGTGTTATTATCATGAACAACGATGGTGAGTCTCTTTCGGTTTATCGCTTTTGTGACTGCCTCATGTTAACTTTGTAGGCGTTTTTATTACCATGGTTTTGTTTTTTTAAGCGGTGAGCGATTCACTTGTCGCTATAAATGACGTTCTGCTTTTATACTTGTTATGAGTACTTGGTTCACTTACATTTTCCCATCATATCTATGGAGACTTTGTCCACTCAAATTTATTTCATTTCCTTTCGCACTTTGGTAGGTTGTAAATTCAGAGTTCGTCTTTACAGAGTTACATTTTAAATGGTTTGATTGAACAAGCACTTTGATCTGAGAGTACGGTTGCCAATAATGTTGCCTCTTTTCATATCTCATATTGTCTTTTGATACAACTTTTTTCCGTTGTTCACATCCGAAAAATTTTTTCCATTTAAGCGTTTATGCGTCAGTTTCAATAACTGGTCCAGGAAATGGAGGAGCGTGGCAATGTTGGTTAGGAAACTGGTAGCGGCGTCTGTTGCCTGATGGTGAGGTGATTCCTCTTTCCTTGCAGCTGTGCCTATCCGCACGACAATGGACAAACCAATGACGGTGCACTATTGCGCGCTCTCACAGCAACTCGTCTCCAAGTCAAGGGCTGGCGTCCGTGACGGCGATCCCACTAACGACCTCACTTTTCTGCGTATCCGCAGCAAGAAAAATGAGATTATGATCGCGCCTGGTACGCGTGTTCACTTATAGCCTCTCCCTTTTTACTCAGAATTTGTTTCCTCTTTTTTTTCGTAAACAGACTTACTACATTACACACTTTATTTACTGGCACCGATGCTTTTAGAGCAGTTTTTTTCCTAATGAGCCTCTCAAACTTACAATAGCGTCCTTAAAGTAGTTCCACATAAGTCACACATAAGTCAATTTCCCGACTGTGATGGGTACTTCCTCATTAATTTACTGTTTGTACCACTGGCGTTTCAGTGATTATCTTTTTCCAGTTCAGAAGAGTAGGTAGCCACAATGCCCCAGTTTCATGCTCCCTCATTTATCTCGGAAAGCGCTGAAGGTCTTCACTTTGTCATTTGTATTCAAAGGGAATTACTGCGACCAGCTTGGTTGCTGTGATCTGCTTCTCGTCACACGCCTTCCAATCATCTTCCTGCGTGCTCGAATCATGATTTTTAAGCGCTGCAAAGGAAGCAGCAACCTGTCTATAACTTGTCTGATGTTTGTTTTTGTCTTTATCGGTCAAGTAAATTTCAACTCTTCATTCTGAGTAGAGGAATGCAAGCATTACACAATGATCACACTTCGCCCAGCTGCTTGGTGTTCATGATGGTTCCCAACTACCCCTTTTATCAGACATTATCTGTACAATGAATTTTCTCAGCTGAGTACACTGAATTAGTATTAGTGCTACGCCATCCATTGCATCGAAGTACTCGAAATTCCCGCCCTTCGTCAACCTTTGCTTTGACATGATTTTAAAGCAGTGCCAATGCAAAACAAATCGGTAGTCTCCACGTCCCCCTGTGATAGGCTGAATAAACTCAGAAATGCATTACAACGAAAGGTCTACATTTACTAATCGCGGTCGGCATCTACTTCGTTTGGGTTGTGTGGTTGCTACATAAAAAAACCGAACTCGGCTTGAGGTATTGCCAAAAGTACCCCATATTTTATGCCTTGTAGACAAGGAGTACACACTGATCGTGGTTCAGGAAATTGGAAACGAGTGATTTCCACTGTCATTGTCCTTCATCACACTTTGTTCATTCTTTTTGCACACTTATTCGTATATCTCACTACCTTTCCCTTCCTCTTTAACGTGTTGAAAAATACACCTCTTTCCACATGACAGATTGATGATTACTTTCAGTAGAAGGTGGGATTGATGGGTGCGAAGGTGGAACAACATATCAGCAACTTCCTGCGCGGCCGTCGATAGAGAGGACAGGCGATGCGGAATAACCTAAGAGTAGCATTACGTATGGTTGACGAGGTGATTATTGCAGATTTTCTCTGCTGAAGTCCACTTCCACAGCCACTCCTCATTCAGCACCTCGGGTAGGTATCCGGGGCGAGCGATAGCGGTAGCTTTCTTGTAATCACTTTCGCAACGAATCTCTTTTGTACCGGCGGTAATGGGTTCGGCAATGCGAAACTTTGTGCTCTCCTCAGCTTGCAGCCAAAAGAGGCTTTGGCGCAGGTTATTAACGGCCAGCTCCTTCATTTTATCCACTGCAGAGGGGTAAATTTGCTCCAGCAAAGAATTCTCCCTCAACCAGGTGCCCTCTGGATTGTTTAAAAACGCGTCTCTAGTCTAAAAAGGCGAAGAGTTGCCTCTTGACCAACGGAAGAGGGGACTTTCAATCAATTTTAGGCTAACTCATTAGACAAGAGACGTCGTTTTGTGTGTGTGTGTGTGTGTTAGAACTAAGCCAAGTGTGGTTTATTGGGAGGCGGTGGAGAGGCCTATCAGCTTGGATGAATCCATGGTCGTCAGTGAAATGCAAAGTTTTTTGATAAAGTGGTAGACGGGTGGATGGGTGGGCGGGCGCCTATCTTATCCTTCCAGAGCACAAGGCATTGTGGCGGCGAGAGACAGTCACAAGGTATAAACAATGAATGCGCCGAATGCAATCCTTCTCTTACCTTGTTAATATGCTTCTTTCGAATAGCAAGGTATTCATCTATTTTCCCCACTGGATCGGTTATCACCTCGCCATGAGCAGGAAGGAAGGAAAGTTTGGGATTATTGCACTTGACGACGAATTGTCGCAACATCTCAAGCGAGCGCATGTAGGCTGATAGATCGAGCACGATCGTTGTACCAAAGCCTACATATTAGTAGTAAGTAGATGCTGCTTCATTAAATTGTAAAGAAATGCAACTCGCCAACTATGGAAAAAGTGTGGGGCTTTATTTTCAGGTCAAGGGCTTGTACTGCTGCAAGACCAATAAGAGAGGGCGACCTGGTCTGTCAACCGACGTTTCCGCAAGCTCACACGGCAGAAGGTAGAGCAAACAGTATTACAAGAACCAATCAGAAAGCGGGCGTCTACTCGTGTAAATGCAAGCACCGTAGAGGCAAGGCAGTAAATGGCGGCGGTTGAATGCATTAAAAATACAATGCGAATCAGAAAAGGACAAGAAAATGTTTGTTGAGGAGTTGAAAAAAAAACAAAAAAAAAATGACGCAGTACAGTGAAGAGAAGGTGCAAGTCGTTTCCCCATTTGGCGAGCGAATAAAAGGCGCCACAATTCCTGTCAGGTGTCATGGCGACGTTGACTTTTAGACTAGACATGGAATTCGTACAAGACAAGGAAATGACGAAAAAACACCCCCAATACATTATGTTGGAGAAAAAGCATAATAATTGCAGAGTATCAAGGTGTCAATTGAAGGGTATCCTTTTGTGCTTTTCAATTCGACAGGATGTATCGAAAAGTAACATAAAATACTGAATTGAGCGAGATGACGAATTTGGACACAACTTTCCACAGTTAGAACTTTTACAACTACGTTGACAGACATTAGACATCCTTGGTTCATTGAGATAACGGTGGTGGTGCATCGTTCCTTCCACCATCACGACTTACTTTCTTTGGTACTATACGAAGAAGAAGAGGAAGAAAAGGAAAAACAAGAAGGATCTTTTATTGTTTTTAAAATTGTATGACCACATGCTTCAGCGTGTGGGTGTGCAGTGTGCACGAAATGTGACGACGCAGTGGGTGTCAGTATGCATGGGCACAACCCACAGGATCGACGGCAGACAAAGTTGAAAACGTCCTTACAAAGTACCTTCTCACAAAAAAAACAAGTACTTAGAGCAATCAAGCCAGGAGGGATAAAAGAACGAGGAGCAGTTGCATGCGAAGTTACCAAAGTTATGATCGAGCTGAAGGGTCAGTAGGCTCGCAAGATAAGCAAAAGAGTCTTAACCCCTCCAATCTAACAAGAGTTCTGGGAGAGTGATGGGATGCGAGGAATGCCGATCGTGGTCAAGCACCAAATGAGGTGGTTAAGTTGATTAAAGCGGCCCAAATACCGCACATTTATATTCAAGATTGCGATACGACTTAGTAAAATATGCTGCAGTTAAAAGGGAGCAACCAACGTAGTGACTCAAAAGGAAAAGGTGAAGTAGAAAAATGTTGCTAGAAAGGAGCTTAAAGTTGTGATGGCTAGCCAAAGCCATTGCAAGTGATTGTAGGCATGTTAGTATTCCACAAAATAGGAGTTAGGAGGCTCAAAACATGAACGCTTGACCGATGTACTGAAAGGGGGAACTAAGTGGAGTAAGTGAAGTTCATTGTGTATGACTCGTTGAGTTAAAAAAAAGTTATTTTTATACAGATGACGTGAAATTCCAAGGCACTAGGTGAATGCAAATGCCATAAACCAGGGACGAAAGAGAGCAGCTGAGTTACCTCTGAACGACGTAGTCCATTAATGACTGAAGCATTGCGGGATGGAAGGGCTGTAAGATTAAAAAGAGCAGAGCACACTCGCCAACCGGGTAGGGAGGGGAGGTAAGGGAGGAAAACCAACCAGCAGAACTCATACGTGCATTTCATTTCTCAGCCAAACAACCCTTGGAAAATCGTAACTGCCTACCAGGCAAAACCAGACTCCAGACATAGTTAATGAAAATTTAAAACTGATGGAAAAAAACATGTCACTGTTACGACTACGTAGTCGGCCACGCTAACACCAGAGAAATCGAAAAAAACCTGCCTAAAAGGAGATCGCCCACAAAAATGCACTCCACCGTGCCGTTGACAGAGAGAGCGAAGCACATATGATCCACACTGTGACCAGGTGTGAAAATGGGCTTGAGAGTGATGAATGGACTATCAGGTGGTGAGAAAGTCATCCCCTCATCCAACACCTTTAAGGGGCCATCGTAGTAGCCGATGGCCTTGAGATCAGGACCTTCAGGTGACTTGTAGACCTCTGGAGCGCCGTCATCTAGTAATGAGGGAGGGGACAGCCTACGAACGAGATCCTGAAGAACAAATATATAGTAATAATAATGCATTTGAAGTGCTCACTTTCCATGAAATGTAATCTTCAAAGCTGAATGTGGAACAAGAGGCTACAGTACTGGAAGGCAAAGATAGACGATTTAATAGGATTCAGCCATACTGCAAAGGAGATTCTGTCCAGGAGTGTTGTCGCTTTAAAACTCGGGTGGACGGGTGAATGGACGCATGAGTTAGGATTTGATGTGCAAATCTATGCCAACACTCTTGAATATGAAAGTCGCCTAGTGTTCCGTGTCCGATATGACCGATTTGCAGTAAACTAAAGCTATTATATTGCCAGTAATTCCAGCAAAATTCTTCCATTTCTCACATCTTAAGAAAGACGTCAAAATCATTACGGCGCTAAAAATTTTTAGCAACTTCAGGCAATTCGCATCGAGGGATGCAAACGACGCAAAATACCAGTAGGGTTGGGTTAAAATGAGTTTTAGTTGGCATCGTGCTGGTCGGCAGTCGAGTAATAAACCAACAATTTCATCAAAGATTGCATTTTTCGCAAAAAAAAAGCTTCATCTCTTTTAATGAAAGGTTCAATGGAGCAAAACCAAGCTAGTCATACTGTTAATAGTCTACAGAAGTGACAGTAAATAACATAGAGGTAATGTGCATTTGTAGACTTTCAACAAGCAATGGTCAGAGTAAGGTGCGCACAATGACGATAGTAGGTGCAGCAAAAGCTTGAATAATATCGAAACAATTAACAAATGATGGTAGAAAGTGCACCGCATACGAACCAACAAAAAGGTATAACACAAAAACGGGTTTGAAAGGAATGAACTCATCGCATTCACAATCAGGTTAAGAAACAGGATACATGTACAAAGAGACCAAAAACACGAGTAACTCGGGAATATCACAAAAGGAACGAAGTGACATCCCGTAAACCAATCATTCTAGACAAAAAGCGTCTCAAATTCCCCACTGTTGGCCTCAACTAATTTTAATACGGTCAAATTAATAACCACTCCAAATGGCACGATGATTCTCTGATTTAAAAAGTTAACAAGAGCAAAAATGGCTCCAAGACACAAGCCCCATTTGACGCAGAGCAATTTCGAGATTTCCGATGTAATTGTTTGACCCCAAGCAAGGAGCTCATGGGAAGCCGTCTTCTCCTTGATGAATCATGCGAACCAACTAAGCATGACATTCTAAAGACAAGGGAGTGGCCTAGAAATTGTGATAGGGGAGTAATCAGGTGAATCACTCAAATAGAATCAATGCCGCTCTTATTTGCGCAAAAAATGTTCCACTACAAAGCTCGCACTATAAATCATTTGGTCCATCCTCAAACCGTCCAGCTCCAACACCCTTCTGTAGAGCAGGTAAAAGTATCATCATCTGGTCGGTTCCCTTCAGATTTATAGTCTACACCACGCACCCATTCCGTACTTATACGAACCTGTCGGCTGATAAAGCCTTGCTTCATTGCTCATTAACACTTTATAACCCTGGATGAATCCAATGGCAACCATCCTGGATAAAGGAGGAAATTAATCCTTTATTATCAGAGTTAGCAACGAATCGTCTTTTTTGCAGTTGCAATCAATAGAAGAAAAATGAAACGACTTTGACGGTGATACTAAACACACATCGAATTTGTTTTAATTATGTAACAATCTGTTTTATGAGCCAGACCAAAGTCAGAAAACCAAATTTTTTCGACCTCATTCAATTCTATCATTTCTTTCATAAAAGGTGAACTATAATCAGCTTGTAAAAGGTCTAAAAAATACCTGAACAGCTGAGATTCCCTCCGTGTGATCGGGATGCCAGTGAGTCAGAAGTATAGCGGAAATCGGAGGCTCCGGCATTGGTGTCGAAACATGATGGACGGGATTTTGAAGCACTGATTGCACCAATTCGACATACTTTTCGATCACAGTGATGTCCCCTCCTGTGGTGTCAATCAATATACGTGATCCCTCCTCAGGTCCCACAAGGTAGGAATTCGTGCCCTATACAAATAAAATATGCAATACATTGGCCGGTTACCTCTTTTTTCACTTCTAGGAAAGGTGCCTCAACAGGGTCGAGAAGTTTACTATTGACTATGCAGAATAAATGCAGCAAATGAGAATTCCGTCACTCCTGGCTGGCAACAAAAAGTTACTTAACAAAGCAAGAGTTGCAAAATTATAGGTTGCGTCAAACATTTAACAATGCGACTTCTATAAAACACACCTGCAGAGTCATGACGCCAGGATTTTGACCAAGAACACGAGTGACGTAAGGATGAACAACAGAAATGTTCGGTAAACTCGGGTATCGACTCCCCATTTGCAAAATGAATCCAAAAGCGTGCAAAATTTTCTGCTACTGAAACAAAACGTTTGAGTACCAAACAATTTACAAACTTTAAGTTGTCATTCGAGTAGCCAAAAACATTGAGTTGTTTAGAGTTTACACCTTTCAATCTATTACTTTTAGATTCGAATCCTTAAGCTTGACAACCATAATGCAAAAATGCTTGCTTTAGACATAACCTCTTAGAAAGAATCGTTGTAAATGCTGGCAAACGAATGTGACTAAAAAGTCAGATAGCATTTGGAAATCAAACGAAGTTCACTCCTCACCCATTACAAAAACATTTATAATAGGCTTAAAACTAATTGTGTGAACATACGAAGACAACACCCATCAAGCGCAACCCCTACCGATCAACAAGTCCAGGAACGCGCTCCGTCAACATGTGCGTACAAATAGGTAATGCAAACATTAGCAAGCATGATGCTGAATTAAATGCATAACAGACAAAATAAATGTTAATTCGACTTTAAAAACTTGTGCGCTATATTTTTTAATACAAAATAAATGTTTATAGAGTAAGCTGACTTAATCAAGCTTATTTTTAGGTAATTCAGTAACATTTCAAATCGTGAATAATTAAAGCAATCGCATAACAGTCTTACACAGATGTGTTTGAATGCTCTTAAGCATACTTTTATAACCTAGGCTCATCACTTCTTGGAAAGATGTAATGGTGTGTTTATTAGACATCCTTTTAAGTTTAGAGCTTTTATGATTACGAATAAACTATAAAATCCGGCGTTAGGCCACGGATGTAGGAACTGACAGCCTAGCCTCATGCTCTACAACCACGGACTTAGAGAGAGGATTAGTTGCAGTAGATTGTCTAGGCAGTGAATACAAGAAGAACGGCGATAGGAATACAGATGAGGCGAATAGCAGATAGCACTCGACAAGGGGTTCCTTACGGTCCTCAGGCACCGAGTTCGTGTTCGAATTCCTTCCCGCCTCTCCCTTATCCAGGTGAACTTTAACACTCCAGTGTATATTACACGTAGGCCTCTCGTTCAACTTGTCTAACTTCTTTCCTTTAAAAGTAGTCGAAATACATTAACAAAATTAAAACGCATGAAGTTGGGCTAAAAATACTTGCAATGTAGTCGGAGAAGTATGGATTAGTTCTTGACCTAGCTTGAAGATCAGCCGTATCGTCAAGGGCTAGTCTAATACCAAACTAAACACCAGGCATCAGGTGGTGCCATAAACAATGTACTTCATTGCACCTCTATTCTTTAGAACGGCGTCCTTGGTAGTCCCCTCTGTACACTTCTCGCGCTAGCCATCACATTATATCAGCTAAGGCTATAAGTAAACACCGGCAAGCCACTCGAACCAGCCGTCAGCCACCATGATGCCAAGGGATTGCATATGACATCGGAAGTTTCAACTAGATCTGCAGTTACGCTCCGCCTGACTGCCGCAATCAGGGCCGCATACATCCGTTGACTATCAGCTGATCTTAAGTCCACAATTTGGAACACTGGTTTCAAGCAGATGTTTAGCAGGAAAGCCGGCATCAAGCACAATATCGCATAAAGGGAGATCCGTGGTGTCATTTCCGACATCTTTGCACGAATGCAAAAGAGTGGGTCGTAGTGATGCGGCGTCCGTTGATTATAGCCTGTCTGAGGAGCCGTAGACATATCACAAAATATAGGTACCGAGAGGAAGTCAAACGAATGATGTCTAATTCGCCTTTCCCTACCAACAGCATGGCCCCTCAAGACATCCCATAGAGTAGAAGAATATATCTGGTTGGTAAAAATTCAATTAATCTAAAACAAGAGATAGAAATTGAACTCTAACTTGGCCAGAATAATAGCCGTTGCGTTTAAGAGTGAGAGGTATACTTAGTTAACTGCCAAGCATTTGGTAATCGCACAATAAAGGTTACAGTTTGAAGCTATATTTGTTTTTATTGCATTAACTGACAGTTGAGCTATTAACAGTCACCCTTCATCCTCTATATACCCTCCTATATACCCATATACATGCTTATATCATAACTAACACACCCAGTCACCTGCCTTTCCACCATGAACAAGAAGACAAGTGGAGAGGATTTCATTGCTCGGACAAGATTGTCAAATTAATGAAGGGCAGCACACATGCAAACACAACAAACAAGGCAAAGTGTAATTTGCCCACCTCATCAACATCCTCCATCGCCACCATCACCGCCAACAAGGAAAGGCACTAATACATCCACATTCTACACCGAGTCTGCACTGCGAGTAGGCGTCACTTACCTGTCTAACAAGGAGAAGAAGAAGGGAAAACGCAAACCTGCGCGATACAGTAATGCCATTCAGCGCAGTGCAGTCATGTAGCAATGCCATCACACCAGTACACGGCTGAAACACACTTGCCATTATCACAACATAAGCAACCATACATTATTTACCGGGAAATATGTACGCAGCTTTATTAACATGAACACTGACAATTGTCAGGTAATGTAGACCAAAATGTGGGAGGTGAAACAGTGTCAAGGCGACCAACGTCAAACCAAACAACGGGAAGAAACGCGCAAATGAAAGATGCGTGATTATGATTCGGCTCGCCTTCATCACAACCACCAAAATTCAGTGATCAAGGCTGCCTGGAGCACAAGAATAAATACATTATCCAGCAACAACACCAGTAGGTTACGATGACTACTACCATAAACATTAGTCACTCGCATATATCACGTGTGCCACTGTTCTGTCCGCCGATACCATCAATTTAATACTAAGGTCACCTAGTACAGAGAGAAAAGTCTTTACCCCCAACCCAATGCAACGGCTCAACCCAATACTCACAGATGTAAGACTCAAACACACAATGAAACCAACAAATACAAGACCCCAAGGGGTAACACATGCTCTATCATTCCCCGATGGCGATAACTCTGCCCACAGCCCCGCTAGACAACCGGATCCACAGTCCACAAAAATATCCTACATGGACAGCATTCTAAGCACTACCCCTAACACATACACAGTACCAAAGGTCGGCAACAATACCATTAAATCAAGAGACAATGGCCCAAGCACTAACACAAAAGTCCCACCAAATATAAGCCCTCTTTAGATGGCATAAACATTACCTCCCCACTGCATGGAAATGGTACCGCCTAACTACAAAATACAAGGACGTAACACAATAACTCCACATGACTCCACGCAAACACAAGATATCATCGTCCCACCAATCCTTAGCCGAGCCGACAGCCCTGAAATGCATCATGGCAAGAAATTAGCACATCCCTACAAATGCCACCCACATGACCTACCTATCGTTATCTCGTAAGTCGACACCGAAGCCCGCAACTCGCACACCTAACAACTATGTACAGCCCAGCAGCTGACGGTAAATTTTTCAACCTAACATCAAAAAACTAACACGGAAGGAAAGCAAAGTGCAACAGCCCATTAGGTATAAAGTCGCCTGCAGACAACACTCGTAGAGCTACTCTAAAGGTTAATGCCCCAACCCAAAACTGTGGGGACGAGGTTTTTGGATGGAAGTCCGATAACTTCTCCGCCAGTATAGATCCCATTTTTAAATATTCCTTGCGCCATCCCAGCCATCCGTGGATGTCTTCACCCAAAACAATTCGCCAATTTGTTAGCGCTCTTCCAGTGAACCTTGTAGCCAGCTATAGCAGAGAGTCTCCTTGCCGATAGATCAGCAAACACTTTCCCACGTTCATCACTCTTCGTTATAGTTAACTCCGTCCTCTGCTCCTGCTTCTCCTCCAACTAAACAAAGTAGACGTCGTTAATAATGAACTCGAGCACTTGTCAACACACATATCAGTGTGTGGTTGGAACCACTACAACGATTGCTACGAAGTTCAGACACTCAAAAGCTTACGCGATGTTGGCTTGCTAAAGGCTATCTCTGACAGAAAAGAAGGGCATCTACGCTGGCCAAGGTTTTGCCTAGTCTCCACCACGAGAAGTCCACGTAGGAACTTTATGAAAGGCATAGAAGTTACCGAGACACGTCAACATGATGCATAAATTGGGGCACCTGAAGACGCGGATAAAGCATAGCAAAGAGACTAAGGAAGAACCAAAACTTTTAATCTCTTCCTATCATCGGCATGGTGCCAGTGATGGTGGTGTCACTTATCCTCCTTAATTGCAATTTCCATTTACTGATCCCACGTATCATTTATGGCCCATCGCCAATTCGCAACATTTCATTTGCCTTGATCTTACCTCTCTATACCGACTGCATAATCTCACACCGCTGTGACAAACCTGTGATAAGTTAAAGTTAAAGTTAAGTTGCCTTCCATGACAATTGCAGGATTAATAGTCAAAGAGAGCTTCTACAGGGACTCGTTGGATGCAGTAGTTCTACTTAAGTTTGTGACCCCTCAATGGGTCCGCATTTTGCTTTTAACCATGAAGTGATAAATATGCGATTGTGGGTGGAGTGGGCAAGTGGAAGTCTGTTTTGCGAGAATCCAAAGGCCGTTGGTGGGAGGAAACCACCCTCAAACATCCAAAAGGGTCTTCCACTGATGGTAATTGGTGGACGGCCACCTTCACACGATGGCAAAAGTTCTCACGAAAAGGTTAAAAGACTTGCGGACAGACATGGGGACGGGAGTAAGGGGAGACAAGGAGAACGCAGCGACGGATTTTATCTGCATCCTTCCACACGTACAAATGCGTCAGATAATCACATCAGCACAGACGGGTCACAGGAGGTCACTTATACAAATCATTACATATGTGACCACCTATGTATGGTGTCTAATTTTAAATTCATCCGGCCCTTGTACATATGGGCTAGGCTTTGAGCCATGTTTAGGCTTAAACCCTTTTTCTTCGCTCTAGAATACATGCATTTAGTCCAGTTTCGCACTTCCTATCACTTCGTAGAAAGTCTGTGAAACCACAATAGCATTTATTGCTATACTTTGTTTATGTGACTACCTGAGGTTCGGCGGTCACTTCAGGATTTGTCTG